AAAGGAAGAGCAAATTTAGTAACAAAGTTCAAGTACAGGTACTTGTAATTGAAACAGCCAGCAGAGGGAGTATAAAAACAAAATTAAAAAAACCCAAACAGCCCTTTTTCTTTTTATATTTTTTTTTATTTATGATCTTAGCTTTCTTTTGGAATATGATAATAGTGCCAAAAGTGCAAAAACTAGAATATTGTAAAAAACATTGAATTTTAAAGTATTAAACATAATGACTTGAAACTAAAATACTTTTTAAAGTAGCATAAAAGAATTAGCTCATATTAGCCTCAAACTGAAATACGATTTTAATCACAGACAAGGTTAACATCGACCAACAAGCTGCATAAGCCGTTTCCAAGTTATAAATCCACACACACACAGACTCTCATTCTTATTTTCCGAATCTAAAACGAAATTCATGATTTGAGAATACTGAGAGAATGTTAGGTATAATCTATTTGTATTAGAATACAGCACAAAATCTTAAAACTGAACAAAAGGTACTGTTGTACTGATCTGTACAACAGAAGATTTAAAAGCAAGTAAGCCAAGTATATGCCCTAGACCATTAGCAGAAATGAGCGTTTACATGACTGTTTCAAGATCAAGTCACTAAGTCATGTATATGCTGAAACAAAACCTCATCTTTACGCTTTCAGGTTTTCACTATGTCCAGCTGATGAGTATGGCTTAAACACAAGCAAAAGGAAGGACGTGAACGGGTGATTGGAGCCCCCAGCCATGTGTTAGAATCTTAAATGAGCTGCTATCCTCCTCGCACAAGTGACAAAAAGAAGCCATCTCCCAACTCACCTACACTACCCCACCGTGCATAATCACACCTTCCACAGTCCATTTTACACGAGGAGCAAGCTTACTGAGTTAACAGTGAAGGCGTTACCTCCTTTCTCAAGGCCTATGAGCGCTAGGTGCCCTCAAGCCATCAGGCAAACACGGGCAGCAGAGCTGAGGAGTCAAAGGGACAGAGGATTAGTTATTTCAAATGTAAACTGCATGCTTTATAGACAACCATTTGTGAAAATACTTGACTCGGACAAACAAGCCCTCCTTCACTGTGAACTGCTTGTGCCCGCACGGTTTCCATTCCCTTTCCACGCCATTCCTTGCTGTCTGCCCTATGTATTGGTCGGTTATCCCTCTAAATAGAATGGCAGTGCTTCAGACCAGGATATATGGTGTTCCTATACATTAATGCAAAACGTGGTATTATGAAACACCAGTCCTGATGGGAGCCGCTGAATGACATCACTTATCATCAAAACAATACACCGCTTCAGTGACAATTTTGCTTTCAATTAATGCGGAGCCAGAATCCCTGGGGTGAAAACCAGAGACAATTCTGTTTTCTACATCAGCATCTAAATTTTAAGGATGATTTAATTGTAAAACCATGCCCTTTCCACCTTTACACATGGGATTCATTGCTGAAGATCAGCATTTGACTTACAAAACCCTGATTGCAAGTAATGAATACACAGATGGGGGGGGGGGGGGGGGGGGGGGGGGGGGACGCCCACACAGCTTAACTTTCCCATTAGTGCAGGTAACAGGAATCCTTTTAACTTTATTTAAACCTTAACTGCTATTTTCTTCCACAACTACAGACCTTACTACATCTACTCTTTCTTAGAGTACCTTTCAATCAGAAAGTCTTAGCATCTGTCACATGAAGGTGCAGGATAAACTTGCTGCATCACAAAAAAAAAAAAAAAGCCAGGTAAAAGGTAACTCTATAAAATATCAATATACTGATAATGCTCTGATGAGCAGAAAGCCCCCAGACTGTAAAATACTCATACCTGTGAGTAGACTCACGGGACACAGATGAAATATGCTACACACGTACAGCTTGAGAGACCTTGAGTGTAGAAGGATCGTGGGATGCTCCCCTGAAGGTAAGACATTTCACAGAAACCTGGAATACCTGGCAGCTTGCAGTATCCTAAATACGGTAGAACTCCACTGGAGAACTGATCCAGGATGTTAGATACTAAAAGTTTCTCAAAACACTATGTTATGCACCAAGTTACAGATTTTAAACAGCTAAGAAAAACAACACACAAAATACAAAGTTCATATAAGCTTCTGCAGTCCAGTCCAGTGCTCTATTAGGAATCTTAAAAACAAAAATAGCCAGATATGGCACAAACCGAGTATTGCAGAACCTAAAATTTTAATAATATCAAGAACCTTCCAACAAAATCCTGACTGGAGAGCATGCAAATCAAAAGAGCTCAGAGGATAAAGAAGAATACATCTCTAGCGATTTCATTGTTTTCCAGTCTTCAAGATTCTGTTAAGTGACTTTTAAATCTCCCTTCCAAAAGAGCTCATCTCAACTCTCTTCCCTACAGAACTCCTCAGTTTCCCTGTCAAAATATTTAGACTTTTTTTGTCTTTGAAGTCAAATAGTGTATATATGTATATATGTATGATTTACAACAAAAGCTATGAGATGCAGCACATTATCATCATTATTCTACATGATCTCATGCTCTTCAAAACAATAATAGCCTTCCGGCTGCACTGTAACCAGGACTGCGCACAGTACTCCAAACAGTTGGACAAGTGCTCTTACAGTAGCTGCACTGGAACTGAATAGTATCTTGTTTGACTTCCCTCCACTCCTTTTTTCAGCCTGGTTTCCTAAGGAAATCAGACTTATGCAATCACTCGGGGAGGGAGGGAAGCGTACGCATATGTATATACGCACGCACGTGGATGTCTGTCCGTCTGACCTCACTAATACCTTTTGAACCCATTGGCCAGTTTCAATCACATTCAAAAGAGGAGTAAAGATATCAGACATTTAAGTTCTTGAAAGTTTCATGAGAGCAGGGTGCAGAGCACGGAAGAGTGTCTCCACAGAGAGAGAGGCTGCATGTCTTCTTCGACGTCAGTAAACTCACAGGGGAAAGAACCATTCTGCTCCTTTCCTGCCTGCAGGAAAATCTTCAGTCAGAGGTCACAATCAGTCAAAGACGACCCGGTTTCTTGTGTTAAAGTGTTCATAAAATAGCTCAAGTTGAATTCACCACTGCTTTTAAAATGATGTTTTGAACAGAGCTGATGTTTTCTGTGTCATCTTTTTCTTGGTCTAACATAGGAGAGAATTGCCCTACGTGACACACATTCCCTGGCTCAGTCCCTTGCTCCTAAGACCACGTATTTTAAAACATCAGAGTTGTACCACAGGCATGACAGCATTCTACCCCTCTCAAACACAGAGAAAATAAAAACTGGAAGAGCTTAGGATTCCCTCCAGGCCTCAAAACTAAACAAGTATGTGGCTCTGTAACGTAATCAACTATTGAATAAAATTTCAAAAAGACAATGCAGCAAATATACAGTCATCTTTATTCACCTCTACCGTAGAATGGAACAAGTACCACCATGCTTGCAGGTTATTGTGCTAAAGACAGCTGTAAGGCAATAAGAGAAATGATGAGGTTTCAGCTGACTTTCTATAGTTCTTCTCACATTCCCCCAAAATACATACATGTGTTAACTATGTACTATTCACCTGTATCCAAAAAGCCACCTAATAAAAGTATGCTAACAGATTAAAATGCAAATTTAGGGACACTTTAAGGCATAAATGTATGATTTAAGAAATTGTCACAAAAAGAATAAAAAAACCCACACCAAAAAAAACCAAACAAAAAAAAAATAACCACAGCTGACTGAAGTCACCCTAAGCATCAAAACATCAGGCGAGCAAAAAAAAGTTTCCGAGAAGAAAAAAAAAAAAAAGTATTTCAGCCCTGATACGCGCTCCGCTTAGAAATTCATTAATCCCATGACCAATCTGAACCCCAGCACATTCCCCGGCGGGGCGCTGGAGCTGAGGGCTGGCGGAGGGCACGGGCAGCCCGAGCCCGGGAGGTTTCAGCCCGAGGCCAAAAAAAAAAAAAAAAAAAAAAAAAAAAAAAAAAAAAA